TTATTTTGTAGCTCGTGACACAATCACTGTGCTACTTAGAAATATCAATGTTTTAATTCCAATTTTTTTTAAATAAATTTATGATTGAATTGAATTAAATTCTTCAAAATGTTATGGTTGTTATTAATTTATTAAAAAAATTTGTTGATTATTTTTTGTATAAAGATTAAGTATTTTCTTAACAATTTTAAGTTATTTGGTGGTTATTTGTATATATTGTTAAGGTGGTGTATCTTCGTTTGCGCAAAGCAGTTCTTTTTCGACGCATTATAATAAATTTTATAAATTTTGTTTCATTAACTATAAGGTGTAAAATACTACGTATTAGGTTGTCTGTCTCGCTCACACTAAGCGGTGGTCGATCGCGATGATATTGGTAGATCGCCTAAAGAGTGTTCCTTGAATTGCGAGTATTATGATTGGCCCACGTTTGCCGCGCTTCGAAATTTAGCTTTCTGGGCAGGTTACGTCATGTTAATTATCATTAGCTTCGCAATTTAGTGTACGTGCATTGTTAAAAAGTACTCGTATTATTTATGTTTTGAATATTTTTACCGTTCCAAATTTCTTTAGTAGGTTTTGAACTTTATTGTTTACAGATTAAGGATTGAAATTTATACCAGTACACTTGGGTCATTATTAAAAGTTACATTTGACATCTATCAATAGTGAAGTCTCCTCTTTAATTATTTTTCTTTTAAATGGTTTTCAAGAAATGTAAATCAAACAAATTTATTATGCAATAATAATATCAATATATTACTTCGTGACTTTGATTACTATTTTATATTCACGTTGTAACAAGAATATTTGAAGAAAATTACAGATCTTTATCAATTTTCCCTTTAAAAAATAAACACAATAAGAAATAGAGTAAATTGAGAATTAGGGTAACTATTTGGTTTTATAGAGAAAATTTATAAATTCACGTTTTGGATGCGACAGAATCCTTACAAAGATGATGTTATTATGTAATATTTAGAGGTACAAAGCCAATTGAAATTTAGTGGTGTGTGATGTAATAAATATGATCAGGTACTTTGAACACCATTACCAAGTCGATTGTATACGAGTTTATTAAAGATTTCGATGGTATCAGTGGTTAGAAATGCAACCCGCTTTTCTTTGTTTAAATATTTTAGTGATAAGAATCCCAATGTAGTTATTTGTTAATGTTTTCGTAAATAATTATCAAATTAACTTCTGAGTAGACCAAACAAACATTAAAATTCATTGGATACTGTTTAAAAATGTAACGGGTCCATAGGCATAACATTGTAGCGGCGTTTAGTTTGTTTAAAATGAAATAGATTTACATTTAGAAAGGTTGGTCAAAGTAAAACGTAAAATTGCAATTGTACCGTTGCTGTAATTTTGAAAAAAAAAAAATGTTTATTACATTAAAAGGTTACTTGAGACAGATATGTCAAATGTGGTCTATTATAATGACCCAACTGTAGTTTTAAAAAATGAGCATAACCTGATGTACTGTTATAGCAATGAGGTACGAACTAATTAATATTAATTGAATTCGTATTAAGCGTTTATGTTGTATCAAATCAAATTTTAGGTCGTAGTTATTGACATTTGTGCTCGACACGAATTCGATTTATACTCGAATGGTTTTGTACTAAGAGCTTGTACACAGAACTGCAAAATAGCGTGATATGCATATCCTCAACGTATATATTGGCTATATGATTCCGTGCGGCAAGGTTCTCCCTTCCACGGTTTAGGCACGTCAAATGTCCCAATAGTTACCGATGCGAATCATAACAAAAATTCTTGCAGTTTGTATACAAACTCTATGAGCATTCTTGTAGATTCCTCTGCAGGCAATCATGTAGACCTGCAAATCGATGAGCATAAATCAAATAAAATATGTAAATATTTTAAACCAAAATTATTTGTATTCCCATCCCTACATAATTATGTTTTCCACAGCGATATGTTTTACTTTTATGATATAGAAATAAAACGCAGTAACAAAGATAAATTGTTTATTTTCTATATTTACAGAACACCTATATAAGTATATCATCACACTGACTTTACAATAGGATAAACGTAGAGCTACATTTAAACGCGCGCTTATTAAAATTAATTTCTAATATAAATCAAATCAATAGTCAAAACAAGCGAGTCAATTAGCAACATAGAACCGATAATACTTGTAACGTTAACATATTTTAATCATATATAAATGAACTAAAATACAAAACAGCGCGAATAAAAGTAGCATCTTATTTATGAATAAAATACATTCGCTTGTTTATATGTGTGTTACATTACGTGCGAAAATGTGTAAAAAATATTATACACAGTATGATACGTTATCTTTCAGAGATCTTCGCTTATACATATCTTTGCCATGGTACACTACTTATGTACACAAATATGTACATTTATACACAATTACACAATCATATACACAATCATTACATTAAAATAATTTAATGAATTGAAGAATTAAATATTTTCGAATCGAGATTTTATCATACATTTATTAAAAATTCACGTCCTATTTACAAAATTGAAAAATTTCATTTTTAAGACTTAAATCGACCAATATGTTTCAATAAGTAATTTGTAGTTGTTTAGTTACACATCAAATAAATAAGAAATGGCTCTGTTAATGTCCTTCCAATGTTATTTTCTGTTCAAGGAAAAAGGCACACCGTATGGCTCACACAACCCTTACAAATTGCTTATTAGTAAGGCCTTAAATCAGTTTTAAAGACTGTGTAACTTATAAATGTTTCAACTTGGTTTGTAGTATGCGCTTAAACGTTTTACATTACAATTTATAAATAAATATTAATTACTTCACTAAATACGCATAAAATATATAACTTCAATAGGAACAATTTACAACGTAATTCTAGAAGTATACAATCTTGGAGCAAAATTTTTAAATCTCTAAAACTAAATAAAAATGTGATGTATCAATTTTCCGTATCTAAAATGAATTTACACCTCAATCTCAAGCATTATTATAGGTATATTTTAGGTTTTGTTTTAATTGACACTAAAACATTTAAGCGGGAATCGAAATCGGGGGTCTAGTCTCTAGTTCGGCTAACATTTTATAGTGAACTAGTGGACGCCCGCGACTTCGTCCGCGTGGAAGTCGGTATCCCGTGGGAGTGAGAAGTTTTCCCAGTAAAAAGTACCCTATGTGTTATTCTGATGTATAACCTATATTGCTGTAAAGTTTTATCCAAATCCGTCCAGTAGTTTTTTCGTGAAAGAGTAACAAACATCCATACATCCATACTTACAAACTTTCGCCTTTATAATATTAATAGGATTATAGCTTTTAGCATGCGTTAATATGAATTTGCAAGCTGAAGCATTCGTTTACATGAATTGTTATTCTTGAACATGTCAAATAGATACTATTGCATAGGCTAATGATAAGCATATGACATGGATTAGTAGCTAATACATTTGAACTAAATCTATTCTGAATAATAAGTTTACGACTTCGTAAAGAACTGCTATATCGTTTTTTAATAAATATGTTCGAATTATTATATTTTATGAATATTGGATTCACAATGCTATATTGATATTTTTAATAGAATACATTTTTAATTAATAATATGTAAGTACAAGTTATAGTTAACATCTCAATGTTAAGTCGTAGTAAGCAAATATTTTAGATAATTAAAATATAAAACAAATGTTAAATTATATAGAATTATCTCTTGAATGAAATAATTTATACATTAACCGTATGAGTGCTGATTACTAAGTATCAAGAGAATAAACATTATCTAAACTATATTTATTGTTTGGTTCTTGACAAATATAAAGTGCTAATGATTTCAACGCATATTAGTCCGCGTTCACAAACATTGTTAAAATATGTATTTATCAGTACTTCTACTATTATTCTGTTGAATGACTTTCAAACGATTATTTCATAATATTAGCATTAAAACTTATTTCTAGAAATATACACCTGTCGTGTAATTATAGACATGTATTGAATACTCGGTCAGTAGTTATATATAGGGTAATCAAAAGCCTGGGCTTCAACAAAAAATAGTATCCAATCCATTTGATATATCACTACTAACATAAATCATATATGGACGTAGTTATGCATATCAGATCCAACCCACATGATGTCAGTTTTGAGAAAAGGGTTTTTAGTTAAATTATATTAAAATATTGTCTTTTGTTTTATTTATTTGTCAATTGAATTTAAATATAATATTTTTTCTTATAAAACCTTTCTGGATCTTTTTTGCAAAATTTGGATGAAAGGCAATAATATGATGTTAATATGATTATACAAATTAATATAATGTGAAGTTATATAAATACAGTAGTACAGTTGTATTTAAAAATAGTGGTATATACCAAAATACGGTGTTGATAACGATATTACTGTGACTGCAAAAAAAAGAGCTTGGATTTATTTTGTAAATTCAAGCAATTCAATCTTAAAATTACTTATGGATGGATTTTTATTTTAAAATAGGAATAATTGAAATATTAATGTACCAGTTACGGTGAATCTTTTCGAGTTTTGCAAAATTCTTCTTTTTTGAGTTGGTATCTTTTGGGCTAATGTATTTTTAACTGTTTTTGTAGCTAAAAGTTTTTAAATCACCTTGATCTTCATAGATCCTGTAGAAGGTTAATTTTTAGGCTTCTCTGTATATATAACTCAATTTTGACAGATGTAACTAGGTTTGAGCATAACTATGTCGATATATAATTAAAGCACAAATAAAGACGACGATGGTTTTTTGGATTCATAAGTATAAAGTCTATTTGTCAAGTTCTTAAGACGGATAAAATTAATACCCATAAAAATGGCCATAGGGCTGAACCAACCATATATTTTAAATGGTAAAGCCCTTGTTATTTCTGGCAGATGTCCACACGTACATTTATTTTATTTCAGGAAATATATGTTTTCAAATATTAAATTATCATATCATATGAAATTATTCACTAAATAAACGATTTATTGAAATGCTAACGTTATATCAAAATGCAAAATGACTCGGCGAAGAATGAAGTGCGCATACCGCCCTCTTAAAATATAAAGGACGTTAGCTTCATTTCATAAATTTTATAACATTTTTTACAGTCCACACGCCCGGTTCATGGGGCATTTCAAAATGTTGATAATGTCGATAAGGTGGTAGTAAGAATTCAGTGTTCGAGTGGCAGGAACGCTGATTTCACCTCCATGGGGCAAAGGGTGAGAGTATTCCCCTTGATTGGTGCCCCCACGCGGTTGAACGTTAAGGAACTGGATAATGCCCCTCCACCTCCAACCTCCACTATATCCGATATTGTAATCTATTCCACAAACAAGATATTTATCATTATAGATGCAACTATGAATAGTACCTTCGTGTATAATCATCATCATCATCATCATCATCAGGCCTTTTACGTCCCCACTGCAGGGCTCAGGCCTTCCTTATGGATTGTTAAGGAGGATAAGCCATGACCCTCTACGCTGACCCAATACGGATTGTAGGGTATTAACGACTGCAAATGCAGCCGGGACGAACGGCTTAACTGCCTGCTTGTATATGATGTGACAATATTTATAGTCGAGTCGTGATTGGGAGATCTAGCGCTAATTACATTGATTTCGATTTGGCTGACACTGGATCCGATGAAAAAGTACTCAACAATGAATTTTGAGTAGACAATGTTGAGTGCAATCAATTCAACCCACTGAACTTACATGATTTCTAACAACAGTCACTCGATGAGTGACGAAGGCATTTTTATTAAATCCAATGCCTAACAAATGAAAGCCAATGTAGTTAGGCGGTGGGTGTGCTGGAATGTAAGAGGTAGACAGTGATCCTTATTCTCGAGGACGTGCAGGATTGTTTTACGGAGTAATAAGATTGATTGAAGATTGACTGGACAAAAAAAAATCTATTTACTCCAATAGTCAAATAATTGAGAAATGTTAGACACGTATTATTTACTCCATTTTAACAAGAAATAGATTAGATAACAGGCATTCGAGTTGAGGAATGAGGGCTCGCTACGTCACAGTTCTACAAAAGAGAAGAAATCGTACAAAAGCGTGACGTCATGCGTCATTTCAACTCAATATATCGGCCGTATCATTATTACGCAAAATTAAAAAAATCCTTCAGGTAGGTTTTTAACAACCTACCTGACGAAGAAATATATATAGAAATTGTAATTTATAGATATCGAAATTTGAGTTTTTTTTGTTTGAGTCTATGGCTACTTTTCATAGACTATTTTCTTGTATTAGTAATTTGTCTGTGTTTTTATGGTAATAAAAAATGGCAGTTTTTCATCTCTAGAAACAGCCACGCGTTTAAATTATATTTTATTGTACCTGTTATTAACAATAGGTTATGGGCCCAGGGTCGCATATATTTTTTTAGCTAGAAATAGTTGTTTTTCTAACAAAGTTCGCGAGTGATAGATTGCAACAAAAATCATGTCGACGAACTATTTGGTAAATGTACCAAAGTTAAAAGGACGAGAAAACTATACGGAGTGGTGCTTCGCCGCGGAGAATTTTCTGATCCTGGAGAATATGGAGCATTGCATAAAGCCTGCTGCCGGGAAGATTATAGAAGCCGCTGATGATGCGAGGACCAAGGCTAAATTAATTCTTACGATCGACTCAAGTTTGTACGTGCACATAAAGGATGTCAAAACGTCGTTGGAACTGTGGAATAAACTGAAAGCCTTATTCGACGACTCCGGATTCAGTAGACGTATCAGTTTATTGAGAAATCTTATCTCGATTCGTCTCGAAAATTGCAGTACTATGACAAGTTATGTGACACAGCTAGTAGAGACTGGACAAAAGCTAAGCGGAACAGGATTTCAAATCAGTGACGAGTGGATCGGCTGTTTATTGTTAGCTGGTTTAACGGAGAAATATTCGCCGATGATAATGGCGATCGAGCATTCCGGGATCGCCATCACCACCGATGCCATTAAATCAAAGTTGATGGATTTGGACGAAACAATAATGGCGACGCAAGCGGGGCATTTGCAATTTTAAAAAAAAACAAGGTTGGCAGCATTGGTCACAGTAGAGCAAAAGACAATGGACATTCGCAAATGTCAAAGTCAAAGAAAGTACTGCGGTGTTATAGATGTAAACAAACCGGGCACTATCGCAATCAATGTACTATTGATAAGGATTCTAAGGATTCTCTAAATACCAAATCGAGTGAACGTAAACAAACAAATGCGTTCAACGCCGTCTTCCTAAATGGCAGTTTTTCAAAAACAGATTGGTATGTTGACTCGGGAGCAAGCGCCCACTTAACCTCAAATGAAGATTGGATTAAAAACGTCTCGACCGAGCATCTAATTAAAGAAATCGTTGTTGCGAACGAAGAAAAGCTTAGTGTAAAGTGCTCGGGTGACGTGCAAATTGCGACGGTTACTAACGACAGTGAATATGACGTGATTGTTGAAGGAGTATTGTGTGTGCCGAAATTAACCACAAACTTACTATCTGTCAGTCAGTTGGTCAGAAAAGGTAACCGAGTGGTGTTTACTACCAGCGGGTGCAGTATTTACAACAGAAATGAGCAATTGGTCGCCGTAGCATCATTAACAAATGGAGTCTACAAATTGATAACTCCTGAGAGCACACTGGCCACAACATTTATATCTATAGACACATGGCATCGCAGATTAGGCCATGTAAATAGCTTGTACTTAAATAAGATGCCTGATGCAGTAAGTGGCATGGAACTTGAGAAGAAAAGTGATATTTCTCAATCGTCATGTATTGTTTGTTGTGAAGGCAAGCAGTCACGCCTTCCTTTTGGACATACTGGTTCGAGAAGTGATAAATTATTGGGTGTAGTTCACAGTGATGTATGTGGTCCGATGGAAAATGCTTCTATTGGTGGGTCCAGGTACTTCATGTTGCTCATTGATGATTACAGTCGTATGACCTACATATATTTCATGAAACAGAAAAGTGAAGCACTTCAATACTTCCAGAATTACAAGGTCAAAGTAGAGAACCAATTAAACAGAAAAATTAAAATACTACGCAGTGATAATGGGAAGGAATTTTGCAACAGAAGTTTTGATGATTATTTGAAGCAAAATGGTATTTTGCATCAGAAGTCGAATCCCTACACGCCGGAGCAAAATGGCCTGGCGGAGCGTTTTAATCGCACGGTCATTGAGAAAGCGAAATGTTTATTATTTGATGCCAAGCTAGGTAAAGAATTTTGGGCTGAGGCATCAAATACAGCAGTCTACCTGCATAACCGTACTGTTCTTCCAGCGTTGAATGATAAAACACCCTATGAAGTATGGACAGGAGGTAGGCCAGACATAAGTCATTTGCGAATTTTTGGGAGCCGTGTCATGGTGCATGTGGCAAAGGAAAAGCGCCAAAAATGGGACAAAAAGTCAGAGGAGCAGATACTTGTGGGCTATTCAGAGGACATAAAAGGGTATAGACTTTATAATCCCGTCACCAAGAAGATCAACACTAGTAGAGATGTTATCATAATGGAAGAAGTGTCAATGCCTGTGACAGAAAGCAAAGAATGCAATGAAGAGAATCTAGATTCAGTGGGGGGCATATCTTCAGATGTTTTAGAAGACACTATAATTGAAAGTCATGGTGACAAATCTGACCTGACATATATTCCAAGTGAATATGAAGATACTGAGTTGACTGAATCAGATGAATCAAAGTATAATGGAAGAACTGTTAGGCTGCGGAAGAAACCAGAACGGTTTGGATATTCAAATATGTGTGCTAATTCTACTTTGGAAGCTTGGGATGATGCTGGTGATCTGACTCTGCAGGAAGCATTGGCAGGGCCAGAAAAGGAGCAGTGGTTAAATGCAATTGGGGAAGAACTGGACAGTTTTAGTGAAAATGATGCATGGGAGTTGGTAGATGTTCCAAGTGCAGGCACAGTGGTGAAGTGCAAGTGGGTTCTTAAAAAGAAATATTGTGACAAACAAGTGAGATATCGTGCAAGGTTAGTTGCTAAGGGATTTACACAAAGACCTGGTGTAGATTATAACGAGACGTTCTCTCCTGTTATAAGACATTCAACTTTGCGTTATCTATTTGCATTGAGTGTACAGTTAAATATGGACATAACCCATCTAGATGTCACTACAGCATTTCTTAATGGTTGTTTAAAGGAAACTATATTTATGCAGTTACCTGAATATTTCCCTATTGTTGATTGTAACAAGGTTCTTAGATTAAAAAAGGCTATTTATGGTTTAAAACAGGCATCATTGGCCTGGTATAATAGAGTTAATGAAATTTTATGTAATTTAGGTTATGTCAAGAGTAAAGTAGAGCCTTGTGTATTTATAAAAGATTATCATAATAAAAAAAAAGTGATAGTTGGTCTCTATGTAGACGATTTTCTGATTTTTTCAAATGTAAAGTCTGAAACTGATAGTTTAATTGAGGCCTTAAGTGCTAAATTTAAAATTAAAAATCTTGGTGATGTCAAACATTATCTAGGCATGAGAATTAATGTTGATAGGAAGAACTGTGTTGTAACCCTTGATCAGAAGCATTATATAGAGCAGTTGATACAAAAGTTTAAGATGTCAGAATGTCACACAGTGGAATTAAATGTTGACAAATCTAGTGTCTGTAAAGATGATATTCCATATCAAAAGTTATTAGGATGTTTAATGTATCTTGCAGTGTTGACTAGGCCAGACATAGCATACTCTGTCAGTTATTTGTCACAATTCAATAATTATTATTCAGATGTTCATTTTTCTTATGCTAAAAGGGTTCTAAGATACTTGTATAAGACTAGAGATTACGGTCTGAAGTACTCCAAAGAAACAGCAGATTTGGTAGGTTATGTAGACGCTGATTGGGCGAGTGATGCCTTAGATAGACGGTCATATACTGGTTATACTTTTCTGAAAAGCGGATCTGTTGTTTCTTGGGAAAGCAGAAAACAGCGCACAGTGGCATTGAGTAGCTGTGAAGCGGAATATATGGCTTTATCAGAAGCTTGTCGAGAGGCCATATATATGCGTAGACTAGAAATTGAAATAGTTGGATTTTGCAATAGAATAGTTTTATTTAGTGATAGTCAGAGTGCATTAAAACTTGCCAATAATCATCAGTCACACAAGAGGTCCAAACACATAGATGTGCGTTACAATTTCATAAAAGAAGTTATTGATGATAAGATTGTTGAAACTAAATATGTTGGGACTTCTCAGATGCCTGCTGATTTATTGACGAAAGGTCTGCCGAGGGCAAGGCATTACAAATTCATGGAGACTTTAGGACTCGTAAAGATTTAATTTTTTTTTTATATTCAGATTATAATGTTTTTGGAGTTAACCTTTATTTATTTCGATATAGTGGGGGTGTAATTTATAGATATCGAAATTTGAGTTTTTTTTGTTTGAGTCTATGGCTACTTTTCATAGACTATTTTCTTGTATTAGTAATTTGTCTGTGTTTTTATGGTAATAAAAAATGGCAGTTTTTCATCTCTAGAAACAGCCACGCGTTTAAATTATATTTTATTGTACCTGTTATTAACAATAGAAATAAATATATAATGTGAACATATCAATCAATAAAACCTAGCTTTCATAGCTATAAATGGGTGAAGCTCGGTGGCGTAGTGGATAAGCGCCGCGGCCCGCGATCGTAGTCGTTAAGCAACTTTCGCAAGGGTCGGTCACGGGATGGGTGACCTAAATATTATTATCTCGAGCTACTCCGTGCTTCGGAAGGCACGTTAAGCCGTTGGTCCCGGCTGCATTTGCAGTCGTTAATACCCTCCAATCCGCATTGGGCCAGCGTGGAGGGTCATGACCCATCCTCCTTAACCATCCATAAGGAAGGCCTGAGCCCCTGCAGTGGGGACGTAAAAGGGCTGGTGATGTGGTGATGTGGTGATCAAAGAAAGTATTTACCTGTCCGTCGCTGACCGGGTATTGTTTTTCGTCCGTCGGTGACCCGTAGCAGGAATCGAACTGAGTGCGATGGAACGTGAGGCCGATGCCCTGCACCTGAACTCCGTCTTTGTTCTGTAATATACACAGTAATATTAGTTAAGTTCACCTCCTTTGGCTAGGGTTGACATGTTATCAATCAACTATATTGATTCAATGTAATTGTTAATTTTCTTTATGGACAGCGCCATCTAACGTGGTAAAGAGAAACAAGATTTCTAATATTAAAATATTGTCTTTCTGATCGATACCAAGAGTGTGGGCTAGTTGTTACATTTTATAATATATCGAAATAGCTTTCAAAGGTATATGATAAAAATTTGTGGAATTATGTAATAGTTAAAGTCGCAATAGCTCTTGGAACGAATGATGATTTATATGATCAAGAAACATAATAAAAACTTAGTTATACTAGTTACGAAAGATTACAGTTAGCATTCAACTCTTTTGTTTGGTATCGGCATCGTTCATTCATTATCTTTCTATCACATGTCGAATAGTTGTAGAGTGAATTTTGTATGTCTTTCAAATGACAAATGAAAGGGGTTGCGATAGGTTTTAAAATTAGACAATTAGGCGCCTGGGTAAGTGACCAGGCGCTATACTAATACTATAATAACGAGGAAAGATTTGATTGAATGTTTGTTTGTTTGTTTGTTTGCATCGATTAAGCTCCGTAACTACTGGACCGATTTTAAAAATTCTTTCACATACGGGAAGTAACATCATATGCGGCGAATATAATATTTTATCTCGAAAACAGCAAATAAAAGGATGAAAATGGAGTGGAAGTTTTTCAGGTGAATCAAAACGTCACCATAGTAACCATTGTTTACTATTCCATTCGCCATTGTAATATACCATGTCATAATATGAATCGATATACAACTACACAGTTCCCTAGGGAATACGCGGGCGAATCCGCTGGCAGAAAGCCAGTTTATTTTAAACTGTCAAAATGCAAACAAATTCAAATTAAGAATACAAATTATTATAACACAGACTATAAACAAACGGAAGAATATAGAGACACTGACCAGTGATGTGGCATGGGCCCGGGCCGCGGCGAGCGTGACGTCGGGCATGTGTATCGTGCGCCGCGTGTTCCGCGTGTTCTGCGTGTACGGCGTGGAGTCGCGCGGCGAGTAATGTAGAGGAAGTAACGGTTGCAGTAGAGAGTGCATACACACATGCCCGCGGACCGACAGGAAACCAGTCGGGAGATCAACGGCGGGTCTCTAACATATATTAACATATACTCTTATTAGAACAAAATTCTCATCTTTATCGAAAGTTAGCCTGGACATTAATGAGAATACGCTCTGTAGTAATGAAAAGTAACAAGTGCTTGAAAGATTCGTCAGTCCTTTTAGGTCCTGGGTAGCTTAGTGGTTAGAGCAGTCGCCCGGATCGCGAAAGGTCGTTTAAGATTTTTTAAGCATTTTGTGTTATGAATATACTCTTAGCTTCCAGAGATGAGCAAAATGTAATCATGATCTACGTTTACATTTAGTAACATTGTCACAGTATTGGAGATGGGTTGCAATCGATAGTTTTATTTCATTAATTACACGTGAATCTTATATTTATCAAAAGTTACAAATACTAAATTGTAGTCTTAATGCAAAGCAAACTGCAATATGTAATCGTTAATTGTGATTACATTTTGCCCATTTCTAGCTTCTAATATACAATTCAGATGGAGCAGAAGCGTTTGTAAATTGGTAAACAGGGCAATAGTACTCCAATCTTATATAATGAGAATTGAAAATATGACATTTACAAATTTATTTCAGTATTAAATGTAATGAACCTCGGTTTATAACAGGATAAAATAATTTCGATACGAGAAATCAAATTTATCATATCGAAAATTCTCGAAATTTTTAATCGTCGTTCGTTATCTAATCAGAAAAAGATACGTAAATACGATACATAAATTATCAATCCATAGGTAAGTTTTGTTTCTTTATATCAAATAAGCTCCGAAACTACTATTCCGATTCTAAACATTCTTTTATCTATGGCATAATACAACATACTTGGTTGACATAGGCTATAATTTAAGCAGGCAAAGTCGCGGAAAAATAGCTAGTATTTTATAGAGTATGATAAAAACGCCTTTTACTATCCGAAAGGGACATATATAAGTATACTAACTTTCACCTAAAAATAAGAAAAATTTTAAAATCATGAATATACAAAATATAATAAAAATGCATACATAATAAACTCTCTGAATGATAAGAGGCGCTCGATGACGCAGTGGCTAGTGCGCTAGATCTGTGATACGGTTGTTAAGCTACTTTCGCAATGGTCGGTCATAGGATGGGTGACCAAAAATTTACTATCTCGAACTCCGTGCTTCGAAAGGCACGTGTGCTGTCGTTAATAGCACGTTAAGCCGTTGGTCCCTGCTGCATCTGCTATCGTTAATACCCACCAATCCGCACTGGCCTCGGGTGTAATGTCATTGCCCATTCTCCCCATTCGATTCGAATCGATTCCATCTATAGGAAAAGCCCTAATCCCAGCAGTGGGTACATTAAAAGTCTGGTGATGATAGTGATGAATAATAATCCAGAATCCATTACCTGACAGGGTTTGGAGTGCTCGAACAGTAGCCTGAAGTTATGCCTGGTGCGGACGTTGTCAAGCACGCCCTGGTTCAGGCCGCGATTGTCGTCACGACTTAATCTACGATCTTGCATTATCTACGACGGTCACATCACAATTATAATCTCCACATTAACAAATAAAGTTAATTACTTAATGTACTAACCGGAAGGTCACAGACGCCGTGTCTATGGAACCACTCAATGAAAAAGTCTTGAGGACTTATTATTAGTAAAGCTTCATAATCACTTAAAAATATAAAAGAAAATAAGCGATAAATCTTAATTATGCAATAAACACCTAACCACCAATACTAAATTCCCACTTTATAAATACTTCGGCATTATAAATATGACGTATTGTAGTTATTTGGCTGAACACTTCCAGTTATTTTGTTATATAAAAAAAAACACATAACATTTTAAATAAAAATAAAATTAAATCTTTAAATAAATTAACAACGTGTAACAGAAATAACGCACATCCTTATACACCCCAATTAGAAAATGCGTTTATAATAATAAAACGACAATTGGAATATTATTTTCATGTCTATATATGGATATGGTTATAAAATTTGGTATTTAACTTTTATGCGTATGTATGGACATGGTTGTACTAATTGCTGGGTAACAGAGTCGACACCTTACAAATCCATACAATGACGTCAATATTACAACTTATCCTGCAACTAGAAATGTATGTAATACAGCGCAATACCACAATGATACCACCTACCAATAAGAAATCTCGAGTTGATATATTATTCTGTTTCTAGATTCAGTGTTTTTTAAGTTTAGACTACTATCAGCTAGCATAGTATTGCGATCACATATCACACGACGAGCATAGTATCACCACATCGTGCCTAACCCTTAAGCATTTTGATGTATTTACTGTATGTTTAGTATAACAATAATCGCATGTGAAATTGAAAATTCGATTAACTTCAATTGCGATTAAAATAATCGTGCACTGCCACTGTCATGTCACATAAATTATGTCGTGTTTATTTATGGTATAGTATTATTCTATTTGTATATGAATTATTTAACTCTTCGATTTATGAACTCGTGCATCATAGCGTTTAAGAGCATTATTAGGCACATTAAAAGGAAGCTCATTTTTCTTTGTTTTTTTTCCTATGTTGTATTTTATTACAAGCTAAGAATATAGTGCATTTAAAAAAGCCTTATTACGATATCCGGAATCCATCTTGAGTCAAGCATCATCCTTTTTGTGACGTTTCCGGTCCAAAACACTACCTCCCCTCTTACTTCCGGCGCCTGTGCTGCCATCTAGTTTGCGGGTAGCGAACCAATGACTTTTAGGCACGAACGCTTACCGTCATTATAGCGTCGTTTTTCGTGGCGAAAACATCGGTCCTACATAAAATGTGCACAAATTATACTTATTATTATATAGTTTAGTGTTAAAATTAAAATGAAATGAATATAAAATTAACCTCCCTTCGCGATGGAGCAACGGGACAGCGAAATAAACAAAGAAAACAGCATTGAAGCAGGCGTGTTTATTGTCTTCGAGCTCATCGAACAGTGTCGTCGGATTCCAGCTCGGAGAGAGCAAGTAAGGTACAGAGGCGAGAAAAACTGTAAGTGATTTGCATTCGATTTGTTACCCCAACCAGTGACATTTTTTGATAATGCATGATAAAAACTGGAAAACTAAATCCACCTGTGCATTTTTCCATAACAAAATAGCACATAGTATCCATACCAGGACCGCAATTATGGCAACCACAGCCACCATCACGTTCCCTACGACCCCACGGTCCTGAACAGTTCCTACTTGCAGCGGTTACGACTGGTGATAATTTTCTTTATGTACCTACTATAGTAAAACAATCAACACAAGTTCAAATAGGATTTTTTTTTTTCTTAATAACGTTAAAGACCCAGTCTATGGTGAAACCAAATTAGATGAAACATGCTCAAATTAAACTATAAGTTGAGGCGATTTGTTTCTGCTACAACAATTGATGATTTAAGATAAGATCTTTATTTGCAAAAATAGAAGTCATTATAGTTAAATTTTATAGAAATGGTACAATCTACAGCATTAACAAATACCTTAACAGAATTAAAGTATGAATCAATTAGTTTAGAACTAGTTTACAATCAAATTGTAGATTGATCTATTGCTAAAGACCTTAACTGGCTTTTTGATAAAATCTAATCAACATTCAACAAGGATTATATTTTCCAAATATTAAGTGGCAGACGCACTGATGTGTTCAGAGCCGTGGAGAAGTTTTCTGAGGTGTCTTTACAGAAATTTTTGCCAAATTCAGAGTTCAAAGTCAAAGTCAAAATAATATTTATTCAAATAGACTTCTCTTTTGAATCGTCCAACATTTTTCCCCACCACTCGTTCAGGACGTCTTTTGGCTGATAGGAAGAACGAACAAGTTCTTCTTTGATAAAAGTATATTGCACCCAAAAAACAAGGGGGTGCATAAAATGGTTGCAACTGCAAGTTGATTCAAGGTAGATTACCAGAAGTACATACCAATATTTAAATGGTAATGAAACCAGTTCATTAAACTTTAGAAATAAATACAATGCATGACATGACACATTGGAGGGGGCTATCTAATGCGATCTGTAAGTTTATGGAACAATCAGGATGTTCCAGATTGCATATGTCGGATCTTGGGCGAGTGGCTCACCAGTTCCAAGGTGTCACCATTTCTGAGCTCCCGCATTCCACTCTCGGTCATGTTAATGCAGATAATGAGCTTTTCTATATTGTCTCTGGTCTGGGTGTTGTTACCTTCGTTGTTTCAGATTTCCATAATACAAGTGTTTAACTATATCATTTGGTATCTAAACTATGTAGGTATGTGATGGTATAAAAATTATATTTTTATGCGTGGGATTTTAAGCCATCTTCAAATATCGTTTGCAATGCTCAAATTAATATACTAGAGATTACAAAAACCACCCTGTTTTGTATCATTTTCTCTTCTAATGTTAAAGCCCGACAATTTTATTTAAAACGACACTGATTTGTCAAAATAAAACCTTTTCGACTGATCAATAATTTTCGTATTCCGAACATTCTCATACAAAACGAATGGTTTACGAAAATATATCCGAGCCAAAAGTATTTTCATTTGAGTATCGCCGAACAACATCTGGTTCACAGGTTCTTGAGACTGGCATACAACAACCTACCTAATGCAACTGAAGTGTCTCTTTGGACTGCCATCGGTACTCAAAAACTTTGCTGCCTAGACCAACACAACAACTGCGCTACCACAATAGCAGCGCTTAGGGTGGTCTCTCAACTTCGAGCAGTGTGTGCTGGTTCTGAGCTTCCTCGGCGTTGCCTGGTGCATCGTGACCAACACGGTCACGAGGTGCCGGGAAGTGCCGGGGAAGTCAGGGGTAAGTCCCTGTCGGAACCGAAGTGCCTTACGCTACGCATGGCACTTCAGCACGAGGCGACTACACGTGGCGGTTAGTCCCTCAGACAGGCCCAGTTCCTAATGGGGAGACTCGACTTTGCCTCGTTTGTGATTCGAAGAGGGTGATTACACTGTCGCACACTGCAATACTACCATCGACAGTTGCCCAAAGATCACCATTACCACCGAATCAAACTACCAGACTCAGTACAGAACATTCAGCGAAGTCACTGTTTGAACCGAACGCTTCACGCTACGCATGGCATTTCAGCATCAGATTGTACAAGGCGGTTAGTCCCTCAGACAGGCCCAGTTCCTAATGAGGAGACTCGACTTTGCCTCGTTTGTGATTCGAAGAGGGTGACTACACTATCGCACACTGCAATACTACCATCGACAGTTGCCCAAAGATCACCATTACCACCGAATCAAACTACCAGACTCAGTACTGAACATTTAGTGAAGTCCCTGTTTGAACCGAACGCTTCACGCTACGCATGGCACTTCAGCATCAGATTGTACAAGGCGGTTAGTCCCTCAGACAGGCCCAGTTCCTAATGGGGAGACTCGACTTTGCCTCGTTTGTGATTCGAACAGGGTGATAACACTGTCGCACACTGCAATACTAACATCGACAGCTTAAAACTATTACTACCTATTCGGATTACCAGACCCAGTACTGAATGACTTAAAATGGTAAGTAACTGTTGTATCATGATACCTTCCAATAAATGCAACGCAAATCGCTCAACATCCGAGGACAGGTGCATAGGAAATCTGTTCGAGTGCTCAACTCGAGGCAATTACTCACGCGAGTCTTCATTTCGCGGAATGCCTAGATGTAAATGCTAAGAGAACTGTACTGATTCCCGTACATAAACAAAGATGGGGGACCAAATCTAGGAAATTATTGTAATTATGACACGAACAAGGCAGATTCAGAAATTATGCATAGCCTGAATACTAAATCTAGCAGCCTAATGTACACCAGATGTGAACTTATTCCATCGACAAAAGCACACGTCATTCCCAGGTTCATGACAATGGATGTGACGGACGAGCAAGCTAATAGGTCATAACGCATGACGTCATCAGTGCAAATGCAAGCTGGCCTTATTCAAACATGATTCCGCAAATACTTTCTCGACTCCAGTAAGCGTCAAGGCAAGTAAGTACATTATGATTGTTCCAAAATGGGACAAAGTGTCTAGGCTGACGATTTGTTTCCGCAAATACTGCAATAGGTATGGCAACAGGTGTTCATCCCCCGAAATTCAGAAAATTTATTTAAAAGTCGGGCAGAATAAAATAAAATAAAGAAAATCTTGAAACTATCGATTTAATGTAAAGCGACTATAAATATCTACTAGTATTAATTCTGCAAATAACAAGTGCCCGGTAGGGAAATTCTGCTAATGTCGGCGTAATGGTGGAGGGTCAATAGCGCTTCGACTACAACCCTTTATGACACATTCTTGTTACTAGATCATAAAATAATAAATATATCTGTCAATATTGAATTGTTAGGAAGACATTGCACTAATAATATTAGACTTCAGGTATATAGTACAATGGAAATATTACGTAGAAATTGGCAGAATTGACTCTATTTAAGTTGCTGGAAATTTAGCATAATTTCACAATCTTCAAGGTCGCAGAATCCATTATTTAACCCTTTTAACCTTTGAAGTATAGGGACGAAAATGATTTTTTGTCTTATGGCCCCATTTTGTATTAAAAACAGATAATAGTAATTATGACAGCCTGGATAGAAATGATTAACTGACACAAATCATTCGATTGCATGTATTGGACACGCGATCAATTTTTGTATTGAAAGAGCCCCAAAAAGAAGTAATTTTCACGAGTTAACTACTCTGTTCTCAAAAATGCTAAATAGAAGCACATAATGTAGAAGATTCTTCAGGGTCTATTACATCTGCAGTTCCATCTCTAAATTGACTGGAACTGTTTCCGATGGATAAATTACTGAAACTGTAAACTGGCGCCAAGAACATACTTTTAGGAAGTCCTATCGAAAACTGATAAATCGGACAATCAAGAAAATTCCGATATCTATGTATTTACATTTTTATTATTCCATTCAATTCATTAATGATATTGACCGATAACAGATAAGCCAATATTTATTTAGCTTAGATTACCGAAACTACTTGAATAATTATTATAATTGCATTGTTATGTAACAGCATAATATATGTACTATGAATGTAATAGCATAATATACTTATAATATGCATTATTTTTTCTCATCAGACTACATTTGACTTTTTATACCTGCAACACATTATAGCGTCACCAATGGCACTCACCAGGAGATAACAAACACATCACTCAAGATGGATTCCGGATATCGAACGGAACAAATAATAGAGAGTTTTAACTACCAATAAAACTTACCTATTATTTTTCCTAAAGATATCCGGAATCCAGGTAAGTTCTACCTGGTGCATCTAGAGTAGGTATAATGACGGTAAGCGTTCGTGCCTAAAAGTCATTGGTTCGCTACCCGCAAACTAGATGGCAGCACAGGCGCCGGAAGTAAGAGGGGAGGTAGTGTTTTGGACCGGAAACGTCACAAAAAGGATGATGCTTGACTCAAGATGGATTCCGGATATCTTTAGGAAAAATAATTAATTTTAAAGAAACTATTTTCAGGATGTGCGTTAATTATGTGGCACGTTGTATAAAAAAATGCGTACCCGTCGTACATGGAACTTCCTGTAGGAATCTTCCGTTAAAAATTAAGAGCTACGAGGTAAAAATTAAACCTATTTTGTTTTCTTAAAATTTTCCATTTTTCATTAATAATAATACTAGTATCTGCACCTGTATTTGTCCGGGACGGAGGGCAGAAAACCCGAGGGGCGTAGAAGTGAGTATTGTGAGCCGCGTTAAATCGTCCTGTATGAAGGCAGCTGCTGGCAACGGGTAGAAATTGGCCTGCAGCGGCAACTTCTCCATGTATCGACGCTTTATCATCTGTCAACATTTAACCATAATGCAGTTGAAAGATTGATTTCCGGCCATAATGTTCTTTTCCCTCACTTACTACTGCGATACACAATGTTTAGGTGACATTGATAACAAACCAAATTACCAAGTGCTCGGTGGTTAGTGGATAAGCGCCGCGAGCCACGATCGTTTTTGTCAAGCAACTTTCGCAAGGGTCGGTCACGGGATGGGTGATCAAAAAATCATTATCTCTAGCTACTCCGAGCTTCGGAAGCCACAGTAAACTGTTGGCCCGGCTGCATTTGCAGTCATTTATACCCTTCAATCCGCATTGGGCCAGCATGGATAGTCATGACTCATCCTCCTTAACCATGTATAGGCCTGAACCCCTGCAGAAAAGATGAATTTACCTGCATCCCATTGAGATCCGTGTAGAAGTTATCTCCGTTCTGTATGGATGTATCGAATTGCATCGCTACCTCCACATCATCTGCTTGAGGGTCCATCATCAATGTATTGGTGATATCCACTGCTGCCTCCTCCTCACCAGGAGTATTGTACACGTTTATCTGAATAATATATACGCACTCAATATAATGGTTATTTCTAAAAATTTACTCTTAATATATTATTATAAATTACGACTAGTTATCTTCGAACCTGGCGGAGTGACATTAAAAATCATTAATTGAAATTATATTTTGACCAATATAGAAAATTTACTTTTTTATATTGTCTCCGGTCCGGGTGGTATGGTACCTTCATTGTCTCATATACTTACTGCATATTATAGGGTTTTAACTACTTATCTTGGAATCTGAGCAATGTATGTGATATTGTATAATATTTATTTACATATTTTTATGTATATTTATATGTGTATAATACTTACAGTAAACAAGATATCGGCAGCACGTTCATAATGCAGGGCGGTATACAGGGTGGCACGATAGGGCCCCTCACACGCCACAATCTCTGGGAAAGGCGTTGAGGGAAGTGGACGAGAGTTTCCTTCAGGGATGAACAGATACGCGCCGCTATTATTGTCAGACGATTTCTGTGACGAGTACCTGTATTGCAGAACACACTTAATCATTTCACTTGCGACTAGGTAATCATAAAAGTGGGGTTGATTCTGGTAGGCTCCTTACTGGATCGGAAATGGCAAGGATACAGGTATCCTTTCCCCCACCAAGGGCACCACGCAACGAGCTTCACCAGATAAGCAAACCACGCTTGAACCCGTCTTTCTCAGGTCTCAGGCGGTTAAAGAGCCCTAGTATAAGGCTTAAGCTACATTTCCCCGCGTTACTAAAAAGGTAATCATACAAAAATGGATGAAACAAAATACTCCACAGACAGATCCTTTTGCGAATCGGGGAACAGAATTCACATTATGAAATTATAATAAATTCGCAACTAAAAGTTTATATGGCAGCCCTGTTTAAGGATTGAGGAGAAAAAAGCGAAAAGTTCGTGTCAAAATAAAGCCCTAAACTCATTCTAACATGGTGTATAAGCAAAAAGCCCCCTCCCCCCTTCTAACCCTGTATAATTCTCAAATTACCCAAAAAATTACAATGAAGTATAATTATAAAGGTTTATTACTGCACAAAGTCCATATGAAGCGGTATAGTTTTCCCTTGTGGAGTGACGATCGCCTTGATGAGTCCGTGTTCGGTTGCTACTATCCTGGTACTGGCTGTGCTGGTAGTGGTGGTGGTATTAGTTGTTTGTAATGTGATATCCTCGGTGAGGCGACCACTCGCTTGCTCCACTGCGAACATCTTGGGCAGATCAACGGATAAGTAGTCAGCGTTGTATACGCGCACGCGGGAATACGACGTGTATCTGTTGATTGTACGTAATATTTAATATTAGCGAGTGAGTGCTAGATCTGTCTTTAATATTGCATTGTGTATGTAAAAGTAACAATATAAAAACACAATAAAAAAAACAGGCTTCAAATAATAAAAAGGCGTTTTTTAAAAACATGCTTATTTATGCGCACTAAAACGTAAATAATAATTTTATGTAAGACAAGTTCATATCGTTAATGTTTAAGTACTTATGATTAAAATTTTCTCTAAGTAATTGACTACTCTAAGTATCGTACTCTTAGTTGAAAAGTTAAGCAATTAATACATAAAAAAAAAGAATCTTTTTGAAGCCTGTTAGAAATGTATAAATGTATTGGTTTTTCTCTAAAAAATATTTTTGATTATCGTAAATGCGAATCTCTCTCCGTATGTTGACCAGAATTTCAGTATTACCTATTGAAAATTTAGAATCGATAAGTATAATTATATAATAAGATGCGTTTCTATTCCATTCCAAGAAAGATTATACTTAATATATGGATGAATATAAAGGTTTCGAAATAAATGGCGTCTAGGCCTGGTCTATTGGTCTATTTAACAAATTAAAAAAAGATAACTACTATAAACACTTTCTAACTACTGCGTTCTAAATATCCGATATTTACAACGAAATTTAAATACTGAAATAGTTATTTTTTTGTGAGGAACAATAGAATTACTATCATAAAATTCCGACGGCAGATGATATTTGTCAATAAGTTTAACAATAATATTAAGTGAATTGTTAGCATGAAATTGTGCAAAATACCTCTGCTTGGACGGGTTAACATAACATCTGGCTAAAAAGTTGTCATTTCGAACTTATTAACATATTTTATATGAAATAGCTAATATAATAAGTTTTAACTTAAAAATTCACAAATATTATCTAAATTATCTAAACTAACAGAAAATAAAATTTGAAAGTGTAAATTCACGTGACTGTTATGCTATCGCTACTGAGCTCAAATGACGATGGCGGGGTAAAGCGAAGAGTATGGAATTCCGAGCCAGGTGTTATATTAACTCGTCCGACTTGTATGTCCTCACTTGTTGATGGCCATGGCGTCCCGTAAAGAGACAGTGTACGTGACCAGAGCCAATGCTTCCACGTCGATGGGGAAAGACAGTTGGAACTTGTTAGCCGCGAAACCTAGCCGAGTCTCGCCTGTCACCACTGGCGACACTTGCGCCATCATTGGGTTGCCTTCGGGATCAAACACCTGTCCAACGAAAATGAAGTTAGATTGTGTGCACACATTCCCACAATAAATGTTACTTTCTTTGTTCCGAGTAAGAGTATTATGGACCAATAAATGTGATGATATCTAAAATTATTTTTCAAAGCAGTTGCTCATTAAGGGCTATTTTTTTAATCCATTGTAAACACCCAAAAGTAAGTCTTTAAACACGTGTTAAATAAAAATGTACTGATATCTTTTACTGCATACATGCTTAAAAGTATTTTTTTAATTTTTTTTGGCCGAGCACCAAAGAAATTTGAAAAAAATTGATGAAAATATGTCAAACTTTAGAGGCAAAAGTATTTCAAGGAGCCTCGAACGAATATTTTCGAATAAAAATATGACACGAAAACATGTTCAAATATCACGTTTAATTATAACAAATAATTTTGACCTTTAATACATACTTAGTTATATTAACCTATATATTTGTTTTATTTCCTTGCAAAAAGCATTAAAAAATGTTGTAAGAAACTTGAGCGTAAAAGGTTTTTCGAATTCGTGCCAATGAAAAGGGTTTAGCCGGATACGTATGACGAGTCGGCCCCCAAATGGGAATCGATATCGAAACTTATATTTTAATATCGACTTGATGTTCAAACACGATTTATGTACTTTTCGCGACCGACTTCCGCTTTGACCTTGAGATAGAGAGCAAAATATCCGTATGCTTGACTATTACTGAATGTGATATAACTCTGAAGCTAATTAAGATAAAGAAGTGAAACTAACGCGAGGTGTTAGGTTACATTACAGAGTATATCACATATATTTTTTTTATAATTTTTAGAATAAAAAATTACATAAAGAAATAAAAAATAAAAAAAATCATTTTTTTTTCTGAGTTCTCTGTGACTTACAATCACGAAATTAATATATGTTGTGCTCCTTTGTGTGCTCTATTACCCATAAAAATTGCGTGAAAAAAAAGTTGGTACAACACAACGAAAAAAAATTATATGTGATTTCTGTCTTATAGTATACCCCTGTATTATAAGGTGCACATTACATCATTGTTTTTTTTTTCGAAATTTCACATCAGCTTGTTTTAAAACATAAGTAAATAGTCTTAAGAGATGGGATAATAGTTAAAAAAGAAATGAAAAAAAAAACAGCCAGTGTTCAATACTTATTATTATTACTTTTTCGTGTCAATCAAAATACAAGAAACAAAATATTAATCATCGTCACTTAATTACAATTGGAACACTTTGAGTCGCAAATAACTTAGTTAGGACCTCAGCAAGACGTACGATTTTGGACAAATATCGTCCATATGATAGATAATAAATAATAGCTGCTACATGAGAACAGTATCCCACTGTACGTTCGCCATTGGGGCAATCACAGCATTAACGAGGAATACTATTGTAGTAATTTTTATGTAATTTTTTATTCTAAAAATTATAAAAAAATATATGTGATATACTCTTTAATGTAACCTAACACCTCGCGTTAGTTTCACTGCTTTATCTTAATTAGCTTCAGAGTTATATCACATTCAGTAATAGTCAAGCATACGGATATTTTGCTCTCTATCTCAAGGTCAAAGCGGAAGTCGGTCGCGAAAAGTACATAAATCGTGTTTGAACATCGATATTAAAACATAAGTTTCGATATCGATTCCCATTTGGGGGCTGACTCGTCATACGTATCCGGCTAAACCCTTTGGCCCTAATTCGTTATTCGTAAAACCTTACTTTCCGCACTCGTATCTTAAATAACTATTTTATAGTGTTTTTATAAGGCTGTTGTAAATTTTTCGGCCTCGTTTATGTAGCTTAAATTTTAATAGTTTATATTAAAATTTAAGCTACATGTTGATTTGTACGTTATCAAATACAAATCAAACACAAATCTCAGTTAGTTCAACGACGGTAGGTGGCGCTGTCCAATTTTTAAATATATAACTTACGATCTCGATTATTTTCGTGCTGAGAGCACAGTTCACGGTTCATCATCATCGTCACCGGCCAATAATAGTCCCTACTGCCAAGGTTGAGGCCATCCTCAAATCGAATAAGATAAATAGGCCATGACCCACAGAGCGGGCCCAGTGCGGATTGGTGGGTATTAACGACAGAAAATGCAGCCGGGACCAACGGCTTAACGTGCCTTACGAAGTATGAAGGAGCTCGAGGCAATAAATTTTGGTCACCTATCCTATGGCCGACCATTGCAATAGTTGCTTAACAACCGTATCCCAACGCACTAACTACTTCGGCATTAAGGTCTCAGTTCACTGTGGCATATATTCAGAATGCATTTAATTTTTTATTGTTACAGCAACACGTAACTCAAGTTCTTTGCAAAATTCCAAGTACCATCTACCTAATTAGGTTAAAAATGCAAAAAGACTGCGACGTAGCGAGTGTTATCTAGCGAGGGTACATCGCCCGAAAGCCTATAAACTCGGGATTCGTTGAAAAATATAAAGAAATTTATCATTGATATTTATAATATTTATTGTTAGTTTGAGTATTGAGTCTTAGCTAGAAAATTAACCAACCCCGTGTGACGCTGGCAACATTGACCCGAAGTAGCAATCTTACTTACTTGAAATTTCAGGTTTTCCCCGTAATATGAACGTGGTGAGAGCGGTTAGCTTTTTATTTTTTCTTAAAATTTAATGCTTATCAATTAGTCATAAGGTTTATAGAATAGAAAATAAGTAATAAGTCAGTTACATAAAGTCACTAGCAGCTTAAATATTGCAGTTTTTGATATACATGATATATATCGGATAAATATCGGATTTTTGGGAGCCATGATATAAATACGTTATATGTATGTACAATGATTCACAAAAGCACTTACCTCGACATGTGGACTAGAGACGTATATAGTGACTACCTCTCGCCTCTTGAAAACGAGCGCGTTATAAAACACGATCCTTCTCGACGGTGATACGGCGTCCAGAGCGATATTGATTCGTTCGGGCAACTGATCATGTTGTCTCCACACATCATCCACGTCTAAGAACACATCCGGCTGAGATTGTTCCAGAAGCGGCGGCCGCTGCAGCAGCTGGTATGCTGCTTGCTGAATGGCAGACTGGCAGTGCTTGATAGCTGTCAACATCCTGATAGGACACAAATCGGTACCAATATTATAAAGTAATATGTATTCTATTTTCAAGTCTCACTCTCAACAGAGCATCGTTATGTTTTTTTGGCGATAGTGGGGATTTTAGGGAGTGATTTATCCAGGATCTTATTCCCTTTGACCACGGGAGCGAAGCCACAGGTTAAAGCTAGTTCTTCATAACGCGAGAATGCGAATATTGTTGTGTATGTTTTAATTCTAATGTTTTAAGGGGCGTGACGTCACACGCTGTTTACAGTCACGTGACAATGAATATAAAATATTTGTTTTACATAATTAATATAAGCAATATTATAAATATAATAAGAATATTTATAATATTGCTAAAATTAATTAAGGTAGGAAGGAAAAGGTAAACTGGCAGTTTGGCAAACATTTATGTTTATTCTAAGTTTAACTGACTTGTTGCCATAGTCGTGGGTGACGTCATCTCTAGCGGTGCCAGTTACGCCGTCGTGATGTTGGAACAGTGATAGGGCCCGTCGCGCTGCCTCCACTGTGTCCCGCAACTGTACGGACGCCACGCGAGATATCGTCGCCTGCGCCTGTACCGATATGGTTTCCGCCGCCCTGCGGTACCAACCCATACTCAACGTCACAATGTCGATGAACAAACCATTTTTACAATACAAGAGAAAGGCAATTAACAAACAAAAAGAAATGTATTTAATATCATCATCATCAGCCATGTAGCATCTCCACTGCAGGGTCAGGCGTTTCTTATGGATGGTTAAGGAGGAGGACCCTCCACGATGGCCCAATGTGGGTTGATGGGCATTAACGACTAAAAATGCAGCCGGGACCAACGGCTTAACGTGTAATCCGAAGCATGGAGTAGCTCGAGATATTTTTTTGGTCACCCATCACATGACTGACCCTTGCGAAAGTTGCTTAACAACAACGTTCGCAGGCTGCGGCGTTTATTCACTACGCCACCGAGCTTAACTTGCTGAGTTTAGCTTAGCTTAGTTTACTTAATATATGATGCAATAAATACTAAATCTCTTCATACTAAATCATCTCTCGATTATCGTTATCAAAATAAATCAGTTTTATGCTCCTGAAAACTTAGGTTTTCTTCAAAAAGGGGATTTCGCACACATGTTTTAGGGTGCCCAGTAGTAATTCAATCTTTTAGGCTTATTCGTCTATCAGAAATTTTTCTTATCCCTTAAACATAAGGTGCACATGCTACTCGATATAAGCTTTCTTATTCAGTAACTAAATAACAGTGATGAATGAAAGTTAAAAAATAGATATAGAATTAATAATAACCTGACATAAGCAAGGAGAATGCGATCCATATTCTTATAGAATGGTCGCGATGTGTAGTAGCCACTCCAGTAGTGTTGATTACGGTCTGCATACGTGAAGAAGTCTCCGGACAAAACGGGAAACTCGGACATTTTAGTTTCCTCGTGTACCGCTTTAAAGTAGTCTTGTAGAGTTCCGAATTGTATCTAAACATGTTTAAGTAATGATTGTAAGAAAAAATTAAATAATTTAGATCAATTGCTAAACCCAAGTATAAATGAAACGGTTTTTTTATCATATATAGGTCAATAACATAATAATATATTACACGATAAACACACCAAAACATTCTTCGAAATGATAACAATACAGCGAAAATACTGAAATTATTGAAAGCATATTATGTAAACCGGTGAATCTGTAAGTGGTCCAGGTGGATCCCCAGGGGTCCACGAAGGATTCAACGGGGGTCTATGTTGGCGTGAAATAAAAAGGTTTTGGAAGAATGGAATGGATGTCTGATTCATCACATCTGTACCTGTGCGTTGAAACGGTCGTGTGCATTGATGTAGTCAGCAATGGCCTCGTAGTTGCCGTACTGGTTGTCCCATTCGTTGGCGCGGTCGTATCGGAAGTCATCTCCTAGCGGCACCAGCAGTACACTGCTGCGGTACAGTTGTGCCTTCTTGCGCCACTGGTCCAAGATTAGACTGGTCCTGTAAACATTCCCCCAACGTGACCTTATATCATTTTCTTTTTCGCTCGAGTGTAAAAGGGAAAGAGAATGTTCAGGGATATTATAACTATTTTTGATTTCTTCGATCCCTTGTGGTTGTACTGTAATACAATGTACGGGTATAACGTGTCTAATAATAAACCGTCATTGGGCTTAATCAGTAATTTATAAAGGGTAGGTGAAAGAAAACCTAAGATTATACGCTGCATGCGTTTTGCCGTCCCCTCGATCTTTCCGCGTCCGCATAGAGTACAGAATAGACTAGCATTACTATAAATAACGAAATAAATAAAGTCACGTGGCCCATATTTAATAATCTTTCAATATTTTTTTTTTAAATTCTTTTATTTATCAGTATTGCGTTTATTTATTTTAGTTTACAAAACTTATAGATAGTAATAGCACAGAGCAATGATGTATTTACAAGTTTTCACTTATAACAATAAAAGCAAGAGGGAAAACGCAAAAAATATAGATTAATGCTTAATTAGTGGTCGCCCAGTGGTCGAAATTCGACCATAATAAATTTCAATTAGAAGTTATTACTGAAATCGAAAATCTTTTGACATTCAGTAAGACATCACAAACATATAAATAGATGTCTATGGTAAACATATAAAACTTGACACTGACTAAATGTACAAATCGTGCGAAGCCAATATTAAAAAAAAACAAACAAACTCTATGTATTTGTGTAGCAAATACTTGTTTGTGTGTGTCAAATGCATAGTGTGTGTGTAAGGTTTTATTTATCGATTTAATGTGCTATATAAGCATTATCATTGAATAATATTAGCCGTTTGCACTTCTCCTACATATAAACTATGCAAATTTCATACTCCTCCGTTCTCGAAATTTTCTTAAAAAGGGGTCCAAAGTTTTGGCTTCACGTATTAATATATAGATAATCAAAATAATAGCATTTACCCATCAACCACTTTAGAATAGTAAATTTTGTGTTTAATATGTCATTTGAAGAATTTTTAATGATTTCAAATGTGTATACTTTAATCTCGCCTTACATCACGAACCATTTATTCCCTTTAACTTACTATTCATGAAATCCATCTTGATGTTGCTAAGATAAGAAAAGTGATAAATAACGATTATAATGTAATATTTAGATAAGATATTATGAGTTAGTCCGGTACGACAAGTTTCCACCAGTTTACTAAAGCGATTAACAAGTACATGATTGAATTGTAACAAAAAGTAAAACGTTTCAACTGATTATTCTTAAAAACTTAAGTTATTTTACTTTTCAAAAGGCATAAAGTCCTATTTTTTATCAAACTGCTGTCAACTGATTATTAAAAAATTAATCAGAAACGAAACCAGTTTAAATACACTTTGAAATGTGCTTGACATTAAATACTCGATTCAGAAACCGGGTGTAAGTCTCTTGAAATTCTACGCGACAATTATGTATTTAGTCACCATAAACACGAACTTGAAAATCAGTTGCACCAATAATAAAAAAAACATACGAAATTAAACTTTAAGGGCATTTGGGCTATAAAAAACACATATGAAATAAAAGAAAAGACATTTAGGACATATTAAACGAACATTAACGACGATATCGACTTTTTGTTATTTACTATTATGTTAGAAATTAAAATTTACATTCGGAGGCCGCTTTGTATTACAATATTAAAACAGTACCTACGTTTCAAACGTTTTTATTTTTAGTGTACTTAAATATGCCCATGCTAGTAGTAGCTTTTGATACTATTACAATGTTAATGTTATAGTAATGTCAACTTATATTATGACAAACATCATTTTCCATACTTCCTTTCCTGTCCAAGGTCCTAGAGCGTCTAATTAACAGACAATTAAGTGTATTTCTAAATAAAAATAACCTATTAAATCCTTTCCAATCCGGTTTTCGTCTTAGTTAAAATCGGCGACGACATTCGCTCTGGTATGGAGAAGCGCAAGCTTACAGTATTAACATTACTTGATTTTAGTAATGCTTTTAATAATGTTGATTTTGACATACTGTTAAGCTTGATGAGTTCTCTTAACATATCTCCAACTGTTATTGACTGGTTTCGTAGTTATCTACACGGACGCCGGCAACGTGTACGTATAGGAGACTCTTTCTCTGAGTGGAGCTTTTCGTCTGCTGGTGTTCCTCAGGGCGGCGTGCTTTCTCCCTTATTATTCGCCATTTTTATTAATTCTATTACTCATAATCTAACTTCCACCTACCACTTGTACTACCACTGCTGATGATCTTCAAATTTATACGCAAGAGAGATTTGATAACTTGAACGATGCTATCCGCAAGATCAATATTGATTTAGATCGTATAGTGAACTGGAGTTCGTCATTTGGTTTGAATGTTAATCCTAAGAAGACTCAGTGTATAATAATTGGCAGCCCTTACTTTGTGTCCAGGATTGATTTCGGGCAGTTGTCGAAAATTACTTTGGACGGGACAGTGATTCCATTTACAGATACGGTGAAAAACCTAGGACTTTTATTTGACAAATCTTTATCCTGGAGACCACAAGTTGCAGAAGTTAGTAGACGAATGTTTGCTTACGCTGGGGCGCTGCGGCGCTTACGTAACTTCTTACCAACTGCCACCAAAATTACTCTTGCACAATCCCTACTTCTACCTATACTCGATTATGCAGATGTGTGCTATCCAGACATTACAGTTGAGCTTCTTAATAAGCTAGAACGTCTCCAAAATTTCGCCATAAGGTTCATATTCGGACTGCGTAAATATGACCATGTCTCTCACTATCGTCAAAAGTTGAATTGGTTGACCATTCGCCGACGCAGAGACCTACACATATTATCCCTTCTCTTTTCTGTGCTGTTCAATCCATTGTCACCCAGATATCTCAAGGAGAATTTTAAGTTTCTTTCCTCTACTCACAATCTTCCCCTTCGTTCTTCTGACAATCTCCGCCTTTACATACCGCCTAACTTTTCTCAATTTTACAGCCAATCTTTTACCCTGCGAGCTATCCATTTATGGAATTCCTTACCTGAGAATGTTAGGCGCGCCCAAACGCTGGAGTCTTTCAAATCTCTAGCTGCGAAGTTCTTTTTGTCAGATGAACAGAAATCTACTTGATATGTTGCTTTCTTATCATTGTATGTTTGTTTATTTTATGTAACTTTATTATCATATTTATATTTCTATTAATATTATTAAATTTATTTGTAACGCGCACAGCCTACCTACATTATTGTCATCATTGCTTCTTCCAGTATAGGTTGCCTGGAAGAAATCGCTGTTAAGCGATAAGGCCGCCTATTGTGCAATAGTTTTAATATTTGTAAGTTATTCGTTATTTATTTCTGTTGTGTGTTGTACAATAAAGTGTTTTTATCTTATCTTATCTTATCTTATATTATATTAAGAGGTGAATATAAATTTTATTTAGTCGATGAATATATATCATGTTAGTATGTGTTATAGCGAGCGCGCATGTCACCTGAACAAAGAAAACATCCTTTGCAACGTTAAATAGTAATATTTGATGTGTACTAAATAATTGTTTCGAAAACCATCAGTACCCCCTGACACTAATAATAATTTTACGGTTAAATAATAGAACACGTTTCACGAAATTATTATGACATTATACCTAGCTATCGTTTCGTATCCTATGAAATTATAAGCTACAATGAGAAGGCGCGAAGGACTTTCAAGTTTCCGCCCTGATTGGAAAAAATTGTACAACTGGCTGGTCGGACCTTACACTTTTCGCCAATCAATTCCACCGCGTTCATCCTATTATTCAACACCGCGTACACCAAAAAAGCTTACACAAACATAATCACATTTTTCTTTATATTTCACATTGATTTCTTTTTCTTTATCATGCAAATATTATTCGTGTTGTACTTTACGAAGGTAAAATATATTGAGAGACATTGTATCTAATCGAGAATGTGCACCTTCTGTGAAATGTCGGTAGAATCCAGGTGAAACCTGTATATGTAGCATGCTGGTTGGTATTCAGGTGTAGATCGAGAAACGTTAAATACTTATATTTAGTATGGAAGAGAATATATTAGTTTCTACTTTTTTCCTCGTTCGGGTCGGTTTTATATTAAATATGTATTTGAAACCGACACTTGAATCTCAGCCCTCATACTACGCGTGCTGATTATCTGTGACTAATGCTAGTCTAATACTACTATATACTAAATTAAAACTGACCTTTCTTCCACGTTTTTATTTATAATTTTCTTGGGTGGAATTCCCCATGGACAAGTGACGCCATTACCTGGCAATCTCTTGAAATCAAATTGACAGCACACCTGAAAAAAGGAACATTATTCCTTACTTATTTGATTATTATTACAATAAGTAACGAGCTTGAGAGTTTTTTTTTTAAATACCAAATATTTTTTAGCATTTTTTTTTTTTGTTCGTTAAGCAGGCGAAAAACTGATAATAACACAAAGTAATATGTGAGCTTTGCAACTAAACGATACGTATTATTATCCATAGAACTCTATGTCGTTTCTGCGGAGTAGACAAGTCAGCTATAAGCAGATATGTTATACCCTAGAGAGAACATTTTGTAATATAATTCTTAATAATATTATTTATTAAATTATACAAAAAATGTGTCAATTTTGATTCCAACCTTAAGCATAAGTACATTTCATGGAAGTATTTGTAGGTGATGATAAGTCACTATGCAAAAACACCAACAAAAGATGGAATGTTTGAGGACACATCCATTGACAAGAAAACCATAACATAATGTGTTAGTGAGTGCCTCATTGTAAAACAATACTTGACATTTTCAAAGAGTGCAAGTGAAATTGCAACATGCATTAAATCATACCATTAACCCATTTGCTTTAGATACGAAAAAATTCTATATTTATATAACAAGAATAAAAATTAATATTTTTTTTTACACAACATATATCTGCAGCATGTATATATTTTGGAACTGCTATTTGTGCAAGAGTTCTAAATAATTACTAAGCAGAAAAGATTTTGAAAACTTATTTAAATTAGGGAAGACAAAATTATGGCAGATTAATCTAATTAATGTTTAATAATCTAATACAATTAACATATTACATGAATCATTGGTGAAAAATTACAAATAATATATAAATTATATAATATAACCAAATATTAAAGCAGAAGTAAGTATGATAATAATTTAGGAAACAACTGATGAAATCATACCTTTGGATCTGGGCCACAAGTATGTGGTACATCGTATGAATAGAATGGCATCATGTGTGTAAACAAGTCGGTTTTGCCCACACCATCTGTAATTAAGTTAATATTTGGAAAAGGGAAATGTTAATGATGGTGCACTAAATGACAAAAGATATAAATATAATATATAAAATTTACTATATTATCTCAGTTTGTACTGCTAGATTTAGTAACGGTATCATAGCATTTCAAAATTGATGTAAAGAAGTTTTTGCTAGAATTGAGCATATTTTCGTACAAATTATTCACTAGATGTTAGCAATATTAACCATTGATAAGGTGCAGCTGTTTTTAAATTGTATGTATGTTTATAGTAGGCAATAAAGATACTGAGTATAAGAATTTTACTTTTAATAATCAACTTCACTTTTATAATTTTTCTCTGGATAAACATTAAAAATAATACTTTTATTATAATTTTATATTGATATATTTATATCCTTGCTTATAACTATGATCCAATTTAGCTGCATAGGCAACTTACCCCATAGTTGCCTCCACTTAAATTCCAATTGCCTGTTTAAAGCCAATTCCTTCTTAATCCTATAGTGCACTCTCTGTATAACAGTGTTCTCTATGCCGGCCAGCTTGAGCAGATAGGGTTGTGCACTAGAGTATCCAAAAGGGTCAATAGACCACCCATTCCTTGGTAAATAGCTGAGGTTTTCGAGAAGCCATTGGTGGCCAGTAGTCAGCTGCTGTATTATTGACAGCCAATGTGAGTTGGCCTCATCATTCATTACCCATCCCCCTGTTACTATCTCTATTTTCCCGGACTTTAATAAACTGGAAAAAAGATCTGCCTTGATATAGTTATGTCAAAATAATATTGAAGACATCATTAGTTGGTTATGTTAGAGTATATTAATTCTTGTAATATATTTATAATTTATAAGGATATATATGTGTATGTTTTTTTATGTCATTATAAGATAAGATATAACTCTTGCTAATTTTCTAAACTCTATGTGTATGTTAGTATTACTTGACAGCTTTTATTTACCTTCGAAAAGCAGCCTTTTCTTTATCAGTAGCATCTGAGGTCCACCACAGAGCTAGATAGCTGGTTTCAGCCCAAATGAACTTCCTGCCTACTGCTGCTAATTTCTCAACCATGTTCGTAAAAATGGCCCTTGTTTGAGTTTTATAATAATTCTCAAATGTTTTAATCCATCCTGTTGTAATGGAAAGATAACAATTATATATTTCTAACTTGTATAGAAAAGTGTGCTTAAAAATCTACATATATTTGTATAGTACACATGATGTCTGTCCAGTAGATTTCATGATGTAATTGCCAGTAACTACATAATCATTTCGCAATATCAAACATTATGATATTTTATGATATCATTATTTCTCTAGTAAATGAATTTATGATCTATATTTAATCATAAATTGTTTTACTATAGGCTAGGATATTCTAGTTGGTCTTTTTATGTGTTTACCTGGATCATTGTGTGAATGTGGTACAATGAAAACCTTCAACTTGTTTTTTGAGTTCCATTGATCTTCATTATATTCTATGTTCCAGCCCTGCTTCCATACTCCACCATCTTTGTCATCAAAAGTTATTCTTTCATACATAGAGAGCATCTGCAAACTCATAACTATTACATCAAAAACAACAAACCTGATAAAATACTTTCATTTGTTGCAAAATAAATCTTTTGTTTAATTAACAAGATTAGTTTGTACACATAATTTAGTTTTTAACTAATTATTTATAATTAGTAATGATAAAGTACACAATGTACAAATCAAACAATTATTTACCTTTAGATAAAATAAAACTTACTTGGATATCTGTTTTTGGAGTATTTTGTAAATGTAAAGGGCATGTTGATGTATTAAATTTCACACGCATCCTAGGAGGCTCATCGCCAACAGCTTTGAATTCCCTGATTTTGGGCTCCCAGTGCTTCGAGTCATGAGATTCAATCTTCAAATGTGCTTTCTTTGGTCTTACTTGAGGAGGATGGTATTCCGGCTGGACCATCATCTGATCCACTGCTGACTTGATCTCATCCACAACTGCATGGTGCTGATTAAGCTCTTCTTCTATATGTCGAAGCTTTGATTCAAAGTTGGACCATTTAATCTATGAAATGTTTTTGATGTCAAGTGGTATTTAATAAATGCTTCTAAACAAAAACAAAAAATAATAAGAAAATCCTAAAGAGCACAAAGTCTAAGTTACAATTTGAAGGCTCAATTTTCTTTTTGCAATTTCCTTAATTATAATTTTCTGTTTATTCAAACTCATTTCATTTTGTATTTAGCCTAAAAATATTGTAGTTTTAAAAGTAATATATAGTTAAAAATAAGTAAATTGGAGTAGCTATTACATATGGTTTTGGAGTACTTAACGTTCAGTCAGCAACACAGCTGACTTGAATAATGGCAAAGTAGAAATCTCTTTTTTCACTAACCTTTTTAATAGTTCTGTAAAAGCTTAGTTGAGTTATATAAAAACCCTTGATGCTCCAAATAGTCACAATTTCATAGCCAGTTCTTAGCAATGTCAAGGTAAAACATTTAACATAAAACTTGTGCAAACAAGCATATTCATGTCTTTGTATGTTGCTCAGTTTTCAATTTAAAATAACTAATCAAATAAAGTTTAAAAATACTTACATCGTCTATTTCCACAGGAGCAGGTCTAATACTAGGTAGTTTGAAGCTGAGGTCCGTTACTACATATAATATGAATAAGAATGCAAGGATGCATGTTGTCCAAAACACTGCAGAGAGTCTCCTTATTCTCATTGTGGCTCTATCAAAAATATACTAATTTTATACTTACAATATGAATTAGAATTGTGAGAAAAATTTTAATAGGGATTTTGATAAGGTGTGGGTACAATCTATACAATTAAATTAACAAAAAATGTTACTGTATGTCAGAGAATAGATAATTATTACATATATTATTATTATATAAAATACACAATTATTATTTTCATTTGTCAAGTTTTTATTAACAGTGTACTTAATTAATATCTCAAGGCTATTAAAATACTGATAATTGGGAAATATTTAAAAAATACAATGATTAGCCGGAGCATTAAATGTCAATAATAAATACTTCATCTTGGAATTAAATTATTACCTTATTTTCTTCTACTTCATTAACAAATTTCTACTAAATGTTTAGATAATGTAAATATTGCATTACAACTATTAAATGTATTCTAAGTTTACCACTCGAGCCAAAAAACAGTTTTGGAAACCAGAAACAAACAAACCTGGCAATCTCGACAACTAAAAAGCACGTAAACGTCAATGTCAAGCCCACACGTTGAAAACTTTGATAGGTCGTGAATTGATAACGTTGCGTTTCGTTCTGCTTTTATGTAAAAACTAGACTTAGACAAACAGCATGTTACTAAAATATGTTTATGCTGTAATAAATAATTCTGTGATAATAGATTAGCAAGATGTGATAAAAATTAGATCAAAATTCAATCAAATTGTTATTAGTTTAGAGTAGCGAATGGAATACAAAATTGACACAACATTTTATCGAAGACAGCAGAATTTGATTTTTCATTCAATAATTACACACATATGTAGTAAAAGAAATTGCCGTATTATAGCTTTAAAGTTCTTCCAATAATTATTAGTATCTTCAGTGTATCCAAACGTATGTTTTCTGAGTTGTTATCGATTTTTGATAAATGTCAAACTTGTCAAATTGTTGTGTGTGAAACATGGCGTCTAAGGAGTCTCTGGATGTGAGTAATCTTTTTTTAACGTTATGTTATTTTTTTCTATGCGTTTATCTTAGAATTGTGAATGTGTGCACTACATAGTTCATAAATTCAAAAAAATTTAAGTATGGTTTTATAGATTTTTAGCTATAAAAGAGTGAAGACGGCCACGCCCCAGGTTTTCGATTGTAGTTTGAAATATTTTCGTTAATAACTTCCCAATTTCTACATTTATCAAAAATCGCCGCTAACACAAATAAAGTAACCATTCTATAATACTTATAGAATTGATATATAGCTCTTTAATTATCAGTTTTAATTCATAAAAAATAATAAAGTGGCTCGCAAATAATCTTATTCTCATAATCGTACTACCTGACCGGCTTTCTTTTAAAATTATAATTTACTCTAAAACAATGATTGTGAAACTAAAAGAACCTGTACAGGTCAAAACTGAATTATCATAACCACTGATTTAAGTCCTTTATATGACAATAATATTTTATTTTTATATTAGGTGATTGAAATTATCTCATAAATAAACATTAACTACTCAGTGCACACTATGTCTATGTAATTAGCACTAATAAAGGTTATAAAGAGCTAGTTATTATCATCCTCAAAATATTGTCAGCTGCATTGAATAGTCAGCAACTACCTTAAAATCGATATGCCTTGCTTATTTTCTTTCTATCATGCCAGAATTTATTGTGAGGACTTAATGTCATTACTATAACTTTTATGATACCTACAATAAATACCTAAATCATATGTAATTTAGAGTTGGTAAAATTAATGAATTTTGAAGTATATTTTTATAACATTAAATATATAAAAAAAACTGATATCATATATTATAGACATATCTATAAACTGACTTTTATAATCTATAAACTTTCAGAGGTTAATAATATGTTAAATATATTATTAACCTCTGATATAAACAATGCAACACCTATGTTCAAAATATTATTTATAATATTTTCATTATTAGATGCAATAATACAAATTTGGATATTTAATTATGATATAATTTAATGAACACCAACAATGACCTTTATTGAAATGTACATGATACATTTCTCTCAATAGTATTCATTAAATAAATATCAGCCTTTGTATTGAGGAGTATTTGACACGAAGTTGTCATAACCTACACTAACACAGATAAGCTTTCTATTTTGATTCTGTTTCTATATATTATTATTTCTATTTCTATATAGAATATATTGAACAGCATAGGCACTCTACCATAGAGGTTGTCAAATATTAACAATAATGAAAGATGTGGGAGATATTCAATATTTTCCTATTGAATGGAAATGCTTATTGGAATATTTTATCATATACATAAATTTGAAATAAAACAGCAAAAATTTTTTATAAAAAGATACATCTTTTATTTGTATCATTATTATGTAAAATTTTTGTTTGTAAAAAAATTACAAATATTTTTTTTCGTGTTTTAATAATAGATTTAAATTTTCTATAATTTATTTACATAGGCTTGCTTTAAAAATTATTTCCCACCGTTATAAAAAATTAGTTCTTCTACCAAAGTTATACCACCAGAGCCCTTAATTCATTTCATCCTTGACCTTCATTACTAAAGACAAGGACACATCTAAACATATTTCATCTAGATTTATGTAGCTCAACTCAAATTTACAAGTCCTTGGCTCTTATTTCATTACTTCAGTCTAATGTAAAATGTCCCTTAAGACTAATTGAAATGTAATCCGTGGGTAACTAATCGATCACGGTCGGCGCACAATCAAGATTAGGAACCTACCGCCAGCATCGCATCTATAAGATAACATACAGTAACTATCAAAGCATCAAATTTGCTGTCATCATAGCTTTTGTTATACTTAAAATACTACAAAAATGCCCGAAATGGAAATGGCCGCGAGGCTGTGCTGCTTAGGGTGTTTAGCGCTGTTCGATAACGGCCGTCGAGCCAATTGAGCGCATCCGCATTTGTGTCAAAGGACATAGCACGCGCTTCAAGACGCGTTCATCTCTGCCCAAGGTTAGTTACACATCCGCAGGCAAGACGCAGCCCCGGCCGACGCGGGCGGCGGGCGATTTATGTAGGTTTTCTTTAATAGCGGATCTGATTCTTCCAGACGATAATAAATCATGTTCAACATGAAAAGTTATTAATGGCAGCAAATACTTATTACATACATCCATAGCCTCTCCGCGTCTTCGTGCGGCGTAAACGCTCTTGAGAATATTATACCTATATTTACTTATTTGATATATGTAGTTTTACTTTGAAAGTGTTGTCTTTTATTATTCATTTTAAAATAATAACTTCTTTCGTAGTATGTTTGAATAAACGGATATGTATAAAGTACTATTGCTGATACATATACCGACCTTCCTCGCCCATACCAACATTGTATGTATCAGCCAGCTCATTTTATGGCATGAATGTATGTTTGAATAGGAGATGTGACTCATTTTTCAGCATCGTTAGTGGATGTGCTGCCTTTTCAGAATTGTTCGTGATGTTGGATTTTTGTATCACAAGGGAAATGAACTCGTACCTACTCTCTTTTGAAAAGCACCGATTTTTTCCGATGACTTGCAGACTTTTTGAGACGAAAAATAAAATCTGCTTTCATAGTCGCTATGAAAGCTTGACAAATTTGAAGTTGTTCCATTGTATCCGTGACATATTAGAAATCTTTCAAACTTTTTATTGTAACTGTTCAAAGAAACACTTATCACATCTGTTGGTAGTTAAACTGATTATGGTAGATATGTACGTATTGGAATATTACTATCTATGCGTTGTTGCTATAATGCTCAGCTAGTCTAGAACCCTAATCGTTATGACTATAAGGCAAAATCGATTAACTGGCGCGTTCATACATCTTAACAGAGAACTCGTCTGTCAGATGGTCTGCAGTGCGACGAGGCTAAGGTCCTGCATTGACGCAAGTGGACGCGCTTCCCGCAGGATGTCGGGAATGAGAGCGTGTCCTCATAACACTGCTGTCGTGGGTGGCGATCGTCGAGACATTGTGTAACTCCTCGTCCTAATGAGGATATTATTCAGCCGAGTCTATGCCACTGTTTGGCCGCTGAGCGCTCTTTTTGAAGCGCTTTAATTGCGTTCTCAGGACCTGCCACTTCACAAAGACTAATTGTAGGCTATCGGTCATTCGTTACCGTTATCAATCGTGCTTACCGTGATTTTTCAAAGTGTAAGTTCTTTGAAATGTGATCGAAATACATTTTTTTCTCAGCCAAGATAATAAATCACTGGTAATATTTAAGAGCAACCCTATTATTATCTCAGCAATTTATCACAAAAATTATTCCAATATTATTTGCTTGTATGAAGGGTTTTTCATTGATTAATAGTCGTTACTTAGAATTTACATCCAAATTATGGTTGGTTAGTATTGATAGATCATATCCGTTGAATTAGTAGGGTTCGATTAAAGTCCCTTTGTTATAGTTAAAAAAGATGGCTTTTATTTATTATTTACCATTGTCCATTGGCCAAGTGTACAAGGCCTTGCGATCGTTGCGGCCTATGCTCGTGACAAAAGAAAATATAATATTAGTTTGTGAAAAAGTCTTTACGCATATAGTATGCTTGTAATAAAATCTTTCTGGCTATACCATTTGAATCTAGCTGGTTTCGGTATCATTAAAAAGTTTAAATTTTAAAGAAGATAACTCCGCATTCAGATTGGAAAAATGTGTGATTTTCATTTGTTTTATTGTCAAAAAGAGTGAATGTTATGAAGAATATTATACATTTTAAAATTTTTATTACAATAAATTTTAAAATTAATTCGTAATAAAATGTGTCGTATTCTAAAGAAAAGTGTATTCTAAAGTCCGGAAATTTGATGTAGTAGGTAAGTCGTAGCTAAAGAACTGAGGATTGACCACAAAACAGTTATGGCGCATTGAAAAAAGCTGGGTACATAAAAATGTTGGATATTTGAGTAGCTCGTGGGCTCACTGAAAGAAACCTAATGAATCGTGTACTCATTTGTGATTCTTTACTACGGCGTAATGAAACTGAACCATTTTTGAAGGAGCTGATAGCTGATTCTGAAAAGTGGATCACTTACGACAAGAACGTGTGAAAAAGATCGTAGTCAAAGGTTGGTCAGGTCAGGCTTCACAGACTATGGCGAAACCCAGGTTAACTCGCAACAAGGTGATGAATGAATGAAATATTCTTTATTGTACAAACACCATACAGTCAAAAAAAATATGTATGGTGGAATTGAAAGGGCATTATTCATTATGAGCTGTTACCGCCAGGCTGGACCATTTATTCTGAACTCTACTGCAAAAAACATGAGATAAAAGCAAGAAGTAAGTAAGAAGATAAAGCGGTCAGAATTAATCAATAGAAAGGGTGTGGTTTTTCATCACGATAACGCCAGACCTCACATATTTTTGCCACTCAGCAATAATTAATGGAGTTTGGCTCGGAGGTGTTGTCTGTCGTATAGTCCTGACTTTGCACTTTCAGATTTCCACCTAATTCGGACTCTTCAGAATTCTTTAGGCAGTGTCTGGTTAATATCACGCGAGGCCTGCGAAAACCACTTGTCGCGGTTTTTTTTATCAGAAGCCTCAAAATTTTATATAGCAATGGAAAAGTTATCGAACACAATGGTACCTTCATACTGTAGTTAAATGTAAACAAACTTTAAAAAAAAATGTTTTAAATTTGCATACAAAAATGTGAAGAAACTTTTTGCCCAACCTATTATTTATACAATTTAAATTTAGCTATTATTTAATTGACTCAATTTTTTTTTTCACAGTATTGTTTGTATTTTTGTGTTCTTTTACCCAAACATCCAACCTAGAAATCCAAAGCTTAATCAGGAATAGTTAATACATAAGTCGTAAATATTATTCTCTGCAATGCTATACTTAGAAATATCAATTTAATGAATCAATTCTTATGACTAATAACAATATTTAAAAAATATTTTGTGAAGTTTATATTTTCTACACAAAAGCTTTTCCTTTGA